TAGTAGTAGTCGTGGTGGTGGTGGTGGTAGTGGTAGTGGTAGTGGTAGTGGTAGTCGTAGTCGTAGTCGTAGTCGTAGTCGTAGTCTAGTAGTAGTAGTAGTAGAAGAAGTAGTAGTAGTAGTAGTAGTAGAAGTAGTAGTAGTAGTAGAAGTAGAAGTAGTAGTAGTAGGAGGAGGAGGACCACTACCACTACAACTACCACTACCACTACTACTACTACTACTACTACTGCTACTGCTACTGCTACTGCTACTGCTACTGCTACTACTACTACTACTCCTCCTCGTCCTACTTCTACTCCAACTCCTACTCCTCCTCCTCCTCCTCCTCGTCCTCGTCCTCGTCCTCCTCCCTCCTCCTCCCTCCTCCTCCCTCCTCCTCCCTCCTCCTCCCTTCTGCTCCCTCCTCCTCCCTCCTCCTCCCTCCTCCTACCCTCCCCTCCCTCCTCCTCCCTCCTCCTCCCTCCTCCTCCCTCCTCCTCCCCTCCTAGTGGAAGTGGTATATAGTGGTAGTGGTAGTGGTAGTGGTGGTAATCGTGGTAGTGGTGGTAGTGGTGGTAGTGGTAGTAGTGGTAGTAGTGGTAGTAGTGGTCGTAGTGGTAGTAGTGGTAGTAGTGGTAGTAGTGGTAGTGGTAGTAGTAGTAGTAGTAGTCGTCGTCGTCGTAGTAGTCGTTGTAGTAGTCGTAGTAGTAGTCGTCGTCGTCGTCGTAGTAGTAGTAGTATCAGTAGCTCAGTAGCTCAGTAGCTCAGTAGCTCAGTAGCTCAGTAGCTCAGTAGCTCAGTAGCTCAGTAGCTCAGTAGCTCATTAGCTCAGTAGCTCAGTAGCTCAGTAGCAGTAGGAGTAGGAGGAGTAGTAGTAGTAGTAGTAGTAGTAGTACTAGTAGTAGTAGTAGTAGTAGAAGAAGTAGCAGTAGTAGTAGTAGCAGTAGTAGCAGTAGCAGTAGCAGTAGCAGTAGCAGTAGCAGTAGGAGTAGCAGAAGCAGAAGCAGAAGCAGAAGGCAGAAGCAGAAGGCAGTAGCAGTAGTAGCAGCAGTAGCAGCAGTAGCAGCAGCAGCAGTAGCAGTAGCAGTAGCAGCAGCAGCAGCAGTAGCAGTAGCAGCACTAGTGCTGGTGCTGGTGCTGGTGCTAGTGCTAGGAGCAGGAGCAGGAGTAGTAATAGTAGAAGCAGCAGTAGCAGGAGGAGGAGTAGTAGTGGTTATTGTTGTTGCTGCTGGTGGTGGTGGTTTTTGTTTTTGTGTTGTTGTTGTTGTTGTTGTTGTTGCTGTTGCTGTTGCTGTTGCTGTTGTTGTTGTTGCTGTTGCTGTTGCTGTTGCTGTTGCTGTTGTTGTTGTTGTTGTAATTGGTGTTGTGGTTGTGGTTGTGGTTGTTGTTTGTTTGTATGTTTGTTTTGTTTTGTTTTGGTTTGTTTTGTTTTTTTGTTGGTTTGTTGGTTTGTTTGTTGGGTTTGTTTGGTTTGGTTTGTTGGCTTTGTTGGGTTTGTTTTGTTTGTTTCTTTGTTTTTTTTTGTTTGTTGTTTTCTTTTTTGTCTTTTTGTTTGGTTGTTTGTTTGTTTGTTTGTTCGTTGGTTGTTGTTGTTTGTTGTTGGTTGCTTTTCTTTCAGATGTGGAATGGGAGGAACTCGTTTGATCCAATCGTGTACTCGCAATTCGGTAAAATTGGATAGTGGGTGGATGGCGCAATGCAGATAGGCATTTGTTCCGAGTTGGGATAATTTGCAAGGAAGAACATTGTGAACTTTTAGAGTGTAAAATTATTCGCAGGCAAATGCGCCGTTCGTAGCGTGGCATTGCATGAATTGTTGTCTATCATGCACATGTGGACACGGCCTGAAATTCGTTAAGGGCGAAGCCCGTTTTGATTTAACTTGCAGGATATTTTTTTTGGTTGGCATGTGCACTTGAACAGCAGCAAAAAGCTGCATTGCACACTTTTGAGGCAACGATCGGATGATGGGTTCGTGCGAGTCCTGGATGGAGAGGCCACTTATGGCTGACCATGGGTGCAAAACTTGCATTGGGTGATGGCTTGCAGCATCATTTTCCTATTTCCTCGGCCAAGGCATTGGCACATGAGCAGGTGAAAAACACACCCAGGTTTAGTTTTTGCGCGCCAGGGTGATCATGCAAATTTGGAGCATATTAATATGCCAAGCGATTGTTTTGGTGAAGTGCGGGAGAGTTGTGCCAATACGAGAATGAGCGCTCAAACACTAAGCACCCAACGCACTGGCGTGGCCCCTTCGGCACATTGGACAAATCTTTCGAAACACAATTTTGCCTAGTCAATTTGTGCTTGTTCATGCTTACGGCCAAGAACCATGCAAACCCACAAGCGTTTCTCAAGTCTGGGGCGTCTGGTCTGCAGCGCGTTTACAAACAGTGATGCATTCTGCAGTGCAAAATTAGGACGCAACAAATCCAAGTGTGCGACGCCGAAAATATCCCATCGGTAGATTGTTACGGTTTTAAATAATCAGGTAAAATTATCATGGGAGCTGCAGATCATTAAATAGTTCAATACAGAGATCCTGCCAGCTCAAGATGGGAAGCTTTCTCAACCAGTCACAAAACATAGATATACTGATATTCAGATTCAGAGATTTAGATATATAGATATAGAAATATAGATACATCGATATATAGAATGATATAGATATTGTAGAAAAATCGATTTAGATATATAGTTATATAGTTGCATAGATATATAGATATATAGATGTATAGGTATATAGATATTTAGATATATAGATACATAGATATATAAATATATAGATGTATAGATATACAGATAGACAGACAGACAGACAGACAGACAGACAGATAGATAGATAGATAGATAGATAGATACCCATGCATCGAGTTTGGCAGGCTTGGGTATGCATGTATCATCTTTAAATGAGCCAATGAATGCTATCATTTTGGCTCAAGTGGAGTTGAACCAAAATAGCATTCATTGCTTTTTCTTTCTAGGTCTGGTAAGGGGTGACCTGCCTAGACCTAGGGTATTCCAGGGGTGACCTGGTGGGTAGCAAGGGGTGACCTTGCATGCAGCGGAAGCTTCCAGGGATCGATATCCCCGGAGCCACTGAGGCCAACATTCTCCATGCGGCTGCTTTCATGGAGTTCACGCGGCATGTTGAAAAGCTGGCACGGGAAGGGTCTGATCTGGCAGCATACACTTGCTGGATGCACGGGGTGGAAGTTTGCCACTCGCCATATGTCATGGCCACGGGTACAGACTCTGACTTGTTCCCCCCGTTGCCCAAGATGCCCTGCTGTGTTGAAAACTGCCAGCGCTGCGCAGCTCACTTTGGCGGGTTCAAATTCCCTGGGTAGGAATCTGGAACAGCCGTGGAGTCATTCTGCCCCCGGATGTGGCTCCCAGCGAAGCTTGGGACTATTTCTACAGGCACCAGGAGAGGATGGATCTTTTGTTGTTGGCGGCATACACCAACTTTACGGCAGCATCCGACTTGGTGCCGCAGAACCTCTATGGTTTGCAGCTTAGATGCTCAGCGGGTGACGCTGGGCAGCTGGGTCGGGGTGAACTCTTCGATCAGTGGCGCACCTGGCTCTGCAGCATCGGCAGCCGAGGGCTCTTGGCGAAGTTCGTTGAACCGCGCCTCTACCCGAGGGCTCCCAGGGGGCGACCCTGGCCAGCCTGGGGACCAGCAGGAGCTCGGGCGCTTTGTGGATGGCTGGACAGCCAGGAGGCTGGCACACTGCAGTTGGGCACGGAATGCATCGACTGCGGTGACCCCACCAGGCGCGTCTACTGGTCGTGCTGCGTGGGATTATGTAGTGCCTGCTTCACCTGGAGGCAGTGTTGTGGGCATCTTTTTGCTTTCCGCACCTTAGCAACTCTGTTAGGGTGCAGCGCCATGGCATCAGGCGGCAAGGGCTACTACGCCGCGCAAGCAGCATCCTCCTCCTCGTCAGGGGGTGACCCTGCACCAGGATGGAGGGCGGCCGATTCTTTGAGGATGATTGCTGCGCAAAGAGCACCTCAATGGAGGGAGTCCGAAAGCCTCTTGGACGACAACGACTTCGCCTATGCCTACACTGACTATGACCAAGTCGTAGGAATGGCTGGCCATCACTATCACGTAGCTGATGACTGGCTCCAGACAAGAGCATGGGTGGAGGAGGAACTCCTTGCGGCTGGGGCCAAAGTAGTAGTCGAGGACAACCCCAAGAGCTCAGTGGTCCTGCGCCCTGTCCGCAAGACTATCTACAAGAGGAAACCCAGGGCGATCAACGTGGACAAGAACATCAGCGAGGCCGTGCAGAAGAGGATCAGCGGCCTGGTGTCCATGTTTCTGCGTATGGGCTCCTACAAGCCTGCCGGCATCCTCGCGCACACACTCAAGGCAGAGCGGAAGCAGACCTGTCGCAGGATTGCTGAGAAGAAGGTTCAGGATGCAGAGAAGGCCAGCATCGACCGTGTAGTGAACACCTGGCTGGAGCTGCGGTCTTTCTTGGAGAGTCGGGGGCGACCCGCTGCTCCAGAGATGGTGGACCTGGACCAATAACTGAACCACACGCAGGCGCCAGCGAGAGCACTCCAGGCGTTGAAGTGGATGAACAAGAACGCCAACCAGGACCTCGACCTCAGCAACCTGGCCAAAAAGGCAAACAAAGCATGCTCGTGAAGGGTTCGATTTTGCGGTGCCGGGCAGTTTCTCCAACGGCTTCTTCTGGGCAAAAGAAGTCCTTGAGGTCTACCGTACCCTGGCACCGGCACGACAGCGAGTCTCAGGGCTGTGCTTCTCCGACGAGGGGCGCCCTTGGACCATCCTGGAAATCCAAGAGACGATGCAGGCTGAGATGGCAGTCTTGCTGGACAATCCGGAGGAGATCGCCACGTACCCCTGGAGGCTCATGGCCCCCACGGTGGCGCAGCTGTTGGAGTGCCGGCCAGAGGAGATGGCCGCGTTGGGGGACTGGCAGAACAAAGGAGACCAGCCCGAAGTAGGCCAGATGGCTTTCCACTACTCGTCCGCCAAGTATGCAGCCTCCATCAAGATCAAGTCTTTGGTGTGGGGAGCCGCAGCCAAGTTGACGGACCAGCTTTCTTGGGAGGCGATCCCAAAGGGAGGAGCTGGACAGGCACGTAGCCATGGACTAGCTGAATCTGAGAGACTCCTTCGTCAGGACCGTCAACCTATATGGGCCTCATCACAAAGGTTCCAGGACGTGCGGAAGCGCCTGAAGTTGTCGCAGCAGTTTTTGGAGGTGGCCGAGAAAGCTCTACAAGAAGCAGAGGCAGCAGCATCACCGCTGATGCCTGACCAGCATAAGCGCTCACTGCAACGTTGAAGAACGGGAAGGCACTACGGCACTATGCCTTGAGTTCCAGACTGATGAGTGCCCGAATCCGGCCGACGAATGCCCCTGGTGCTCACCTATGCGCTGTGTTGCAACAGTCGGGTCGTGCCTGCGGAGGGAAACATGGGGCCGGAGTCTGCCGCATCAAGAGGGCAGTCATGGCAACATCTGCGCCAGCCATCCCGAAACCCTCAGCTACCCTGGTGCCTGCAGCCTTGGGTGACAAGGCACAGTTCACCAGAAAGAGATCGGCAGCCGAGACCCCTGATGATGACATGGCAGCCGCGATGAGGGCTGCTGTGAAGAAAGCCCGTGGCATGGCAGCACCCAAAACGCCCCCGAAGGCAATGCCCAAGACTCCGCCTAAGGCGGCCCCAAAGGCAGAACCGGCGGGCAAACCACAGAGCAAGTCAGCTGCCATGCCCAAGAAGGGCGGTGGAGGCAAGAGGACAGGGGAGCTGGACCACCATCTTGAGCGCCTGGGAGTTGGCACGGGCACTGCTCAAGCTCCAACTTGCTTCTGGACCTCAAGGAAAGGGGGTAAGATCTTTTTGGCAGGACTCGCAATGAGGCAGACCGTGAACAAGTTCCCCACGACGGCGCGCAGGTCTGCTGTTTTCCCAATGCTCCTGAGAGCTGGGAGGGGGTGACCCTGCCAGGCGCTCAGCTCATGACCTTTGCGGCGGCTTACAGCCAAGAACGGTCTGAGCAGTGGACAGACGTCTGGCCAGCACGGGGACAACGTCCTTATCCACTGCATCAAAGGGCGCCATAGGGGTGCATACTTGGCCGTGCTCTGCAGGGCGCTGCTGGAGGGCGAATCCATTGAAGCAGCCAACCGATATATCGAAGCCCGCCGAGATACAGAGCTCCACAAAGTGATCAAAGACCAGTGGCTCAACAAAGCCTTCCAGGACACCGTGGTGGGAACCCAGCATCCTGAGCCACCGGGTTATGCAGCCACAGCACTCATGTGCTCGTGGAAGCTGGCACAGCGCTATGCCCAGCACAAGCAGGCCGACGGGAAGGGATTTTGGTGCGACCAATGCCTCCACCGAGCACCTGCCTCGTGGTGGCCACCGGCCTAGGCCTGATCCCTCCGAATTTTTGGCTTTGGCGCTGATTTAGCAGCATGGCCCGTTCCAACCGCTTGGGGCTTGGATAAGAGCATTCAATCCAGCCTGCATGACGCCCCCAGCTGTGACCTCGTGTGCGATGAAAACAGTGCTCCCCCGATTGACTCCTTGGTAGGTATCAGGTGTCAGGTAGCATGCTATCGCGGCATGTCTTGTAGGGGATGGTTTCACTGCTCGCTCACGGCTAGTCTGGGAGGGGCCCCCCATGATTAGGATCACAGCAGAGTGAGGCAACAACTTCATGAGGGTGAACTCATGGAGGGTTTGTGCATGACTTTGCATGTTGATCTTATCGTGATTGTCTTTTGTACTTTTAAAGAAATCTCCAATGAATCGGGCATGTCCCCGAGGCGCAGTTTTCAGTCAAAGGGAGAGGATCCCTGGACCTAGACAGAGGGGTGTCCTCAGACGTCTGCCATGGAGACAGACAAAGTTCCCCTGGAGAAGGGTTCCCCCGAAGAGGTCCTTAGGAAGTTGGGTGACAACTTCGGATTGGATGACGGGGTGAAGCCTTA